TTATTTCGCTTCACTGGGTCTTAGTCACCGCATTCTGGATCTTTAGTTGCAAAGTGTGGGCTCTTAGTTGTGGCATGTGGGATCTAGTTCCTGACCAGGGATCGAACCCAGGCCCCCTGCATTGGGAGCGCAGTCTTAGCCACTGGGTCACCAAGGAAGTCCCTGTATTGACTTCTGTTATTATCACAGAAGATGACTGCTAAAGCCTGCCCCCTTGTCAGGAGTGTGTGTGAGTGGAACAGTTTCCCAGAGGCTGGGAGCCTGGAAGTGGTAGGCTTGCTGTGACTGCCACGTAGAGGTCCAGAGACATGCCTGACTGCCAGCCCCAAGTACCCAGGGACACACAGCCTGTTGGCGGAGGCCCGCTACCTGCCCCCGTCACCTGTCCTGGGCCCATTCCCTGTCTGGACACCAGAAGCTCGAGTCCTTGGGCCCCACGGGAGCCCTGTGTGTGCAGGAGGGTGGGGCCCCATCCCTGCTGGGCCGGGAAGCAGGGTCACCCAGACCAACCCTGCTCCTCCACGTAAATGACCTGCCTCTGTCTCAGGGTGCCAACTCAGATGCCTGTAGGGCTGTGAAGAGCGAAGTGAGGGGGGAGGGCAGCAGGCCGAGCGCGAGACGACAGGGGCGGGTGGCGAGTGTGGTGACTGGGGAGCCGCTGCCCGGGCTCGGGGCCAGCTCTGGCTTTTGGGACCATCTGGTAACATGGACCAGAGCTGCCACGGCTTCCGGTTTTTCCAGAGAAGCAAGGAATTGGCAGACTAGTGCAGCCAGCCAATCCCGAGGAGGCTGAGGGTGAGGCTGAGTGATGGTGGCGGTGGGGAAGGGGAGGTGCTGGAGCCTCGGGAAGGGACCATGCTGTTCTAGGCAGGGTGGGAGGTGAGGTCTGGGGAGGGACTCAGGACATCTCAGTAAATGTGCCCGAGTGTGGGGGCAGCAGCCACTGGTCTGGCTACAAAATGGCCTTGGCAGGATCTGGGGGACCCTCTGAGGTCGTGGTGCCAGTGCTGGAGCCAAAGGAACAGACAGACAGAATCGGGTCCTTCCCGCTGCGGGTCAGAGAAGGCGGGTCCCCAGGGGACAGAGGCCCGAGTGGAGGCTCCCCTGGGAGACTCTGCCTGCTCTTCCTTACCCCTGTTGTCAGCTGTGGCCAAATTCATTCCCTGCAGCCATGCCTGGGTGCCAACCAGGCCCCTGAGCCCCTGACAGCTGCAGCTCCGGGCTGATTTACATGTATGTATGTAGCTTACAGGGTGGGGGTGGGACCCAGGGAATGGGAAGGGTAGCGGGATGTGGCGGGAGAGGAAGGCCTCTGTTCTCCAGGAGGACTGGGGGTGGGAACTGCAGCTTCAGTCCGCTAAGGTCACTCTACGGATCCCCCTGGGCAAGAGGGGCGGGGCCAGGAATAGTCCCCTCCCTCTCCTTACCTCCCCAGAAGGGCAAGGACTGGGGGGAACCAGCCCCGGGCACTCGTGGAGCCTTGCATCAGGGGCTTCAGGCTTCCGTGGTGGCTCAGAGGTAAAGAATCTGCCTGCAATGCAGGAGACCCAGGTTCAAACCCTGGGTTGGGAAGATCCCCTGGAGAAGAGAAGGACGACCCACTCCAATCTTCTTTCCTGGCGAATCCCATGGACAGAGGAGCCTGGTGGGCTATACAGTCCATGGGGTCGAAAAAAGTGGGACCCGACTGAGTGACTAATACTTTCACTTTCAGGTCAGGGACTGCAGGCTCCAGGGGGCCAGGAAGAAAGTGGGGGCCAGTGTTCATGCTGAGCTGGGGTGGGAGCTGTGGTGGGGGGTCAGCTACATAGGCCCTGTAACTGGATTTAGTTCGCTCACTAGATGTTTGTTAACTTAGAGCCAACATTTAAAAGTTAGATTTCACATTAAAAATAAATACACCACCTGGATTCCTGGCTTCTTTTAAACCTCTGAAGATCTGGCATGGCGGGACCCCGGGATCTGAGCTGCAGAAGCTGCCTGGGCTGCTCTCTTGACCAGATTCTGCAAGGCCAGCTTTGCTCCCTGGTGTTGCTTGCCCAGCCCTTGAACAACAGGGACTCAGGCTCAGAGCTCTGGCTGGTGGTTAGAAAGGCTTAGAAGCTGGGATGCTCGGCCGGCCTCCCAGCCCACGGCTGGAATGCAGGGAGGGCTGGCGCACGTTCACAGTCTCCAGGGCTGGCCCAGAGACATAAGCCCCGGTAGTACCAGGGTGCCTGGCAGGTCAGGGCCCCTCTGGTTCCACATGAACTCAGAGGGGAGCCGGGGGTGGGGCGGGCCCAGCAGAGGCCCAGCCATTATCCCTGCATGCCGGCGGGACAGAAGCCCTTTCCCCTCTGGCCGGTTTAACAGACGGAGGGAGCGTCTCCAGAGGGCCCCCTTACCCAGCCCCCAATACAACTGCTGGCAACTGAGCTGCAGTCTAGACCCCTAGTCCCCTCAGCTGAACCTTTCTCCCCCCTCGGGGGCTGCCTTATCCAGACGCTGATACTCACCCCAAAGGAAGCGGGGGTGGGGAGCTGCAGGAGGAGCCAGCAATCAAGCATTTGAGGGCTGTATTTTCGGGATCCACTCAGGCTGAAGGGAAACCCCAGGGTCCAGGAAATTTCACCCCAGCTCTCCCGTGGTTATCTCAGGATTTGTATATTGACTAAGAGCTCACCAAGCTGAGTGTCTTGGCTAAGTTACTCAACCTCTCTGTGCCTTAGTTCCTGTATCTGTAAAAGGAGGATCATAATCATACCCACCCTCCAAGGTTGAATGCGGGTGAGATGAGTCAGTTCTAGACATATCTGCTAAGTCGCTTCAGTTGTGTCTGACTCAGACCCTATGGGCTGTAGCCCACCAGGCTCCTCAGTCCATGGGATTCTCCAGGCAAGAATACTGGAGCGGGTTGCCGGGCCCTCCTTCAGGGGATCTTCCTGATCCAGGGATTGAACCTTAGTTCCTTACATCTCCTGGCTTTGGCAGGTACGTTCTTTACCACTAGCGCCACCTGGGAATAATAGCCACTGTAAACCGTATGTAAACCTATTATCTGGCCAGGATTCCCCATTTGCAGGTGGGAAGAGGGAGCGGCCGGCCTCCAGTGGACTCAGTCCGTTCTTGGAGGCAGCAGTCTCCCTCTTGTCCGACCCCAGATCTAGCTCATCAGACCATATTCTTAATAACATCTTTTATTGATCTTGCAAGAAAAAAAAATAGAAATTTATTTTAGAGTTAATGCCTATAACAGCTTTTTTCCCCCCTCCCCTCCTAACTTGCATGGTACAATTATAAATATCAACTGAGATCCTGGGAGCAAATAAGTGTGGTGCTTGTGTGATCTCCCAAACATATCTGACCTGTTACACACGCCTCGGGAAGGGATGGAAGGCTGGGCTCCCTTTAAAGCCAAGGTACTGGTTTTGGTCACTAAAAGTTGATCAACCCCCCCCCCCCCCCTCTGCCCCTGATTCCCCGGCAGCTCTCCTGGGAGTCTGGAGGCCCAGAGGTGGAGGGGCTTGCCACATCCGGGAGGGTGAGGTGAGCCTAGAGGCTGGGGGCTTGGAAGCTACTGAAATGATGGATCTTCTCTGGGAGAAACAATTCCTTATCTTCACGTCGGGCCCCACGCTCCTAATGAAAATCGCATTTGCATAGCTGCTCGGCTGAAGCTGCAAAGCTCATAAAGTATTTGCTGGGGCTTTTGGTTGCATAGGAACCTACTTGGAGTACAGTACGGCAGCAGCGGGGCCAGGCCGGAAGCCAGGAAAACAATGGATTAATATTTGGAACGAGAAATTACCCACCACTGGGAAACCAATGAGGTCCCTGATCCAAGCTTGTTACACAGATGAAAATAGATGCAATCTGGGCTTCACACGGCTGGTGGGGGCAAGGCACATGTCCAACTTGCCCAGAAGCTGCTGGAAGAGGGCAAAGGCGTGGGGACCCCTGGGCAACAAGAACCTCACCACCTGGGGCCCAGGACGCAGGGGGACAAGAACAGATGGAAAGGGAGAAAAGCCTGGATCAGACAGAGGGAGTCCGCCCACCCTCTAGGCTAGTTCAAGTGGCAGGGGGCATGGCCTCTGGGGCTGAGGGTGGGGCTGTGGCACTGGTCTGTCTCCCCCGCTGGCATCTAGAGGGCATCTGGATGGGCCCTCCTGGCCCTCTGGTGTAGGACGCTGCCTGCCTGTCCTGTCAGCCTGGCAGCACTGCAGTGACTGGGGCCCGCGTGCCAGACGGGGGTATGGGGCTGACTCAGGGCAGCGGCTGGGTTCAGCTCCCTCAGTTCCTCAGTTTTGATCCCTTCTCAGGCTTAACCAGAGGACAGAGACCCTGCATGACCAGGGACCCTCACGGGATCCCTCCTTCTCCACTGGGCCTGGGTGGGACCCCCGCACCCCGGGATGAGTGAAGTGGTGGTACCAGTCCAGGAGGGGTCCAGGGGAGAACTCCACCCTCCTGGCCAGCTCCGCCAGCCCTCAGATGAGGCAGGGATGTGGTGGGAGTGGGGGCCTCCGAAGGCAGGGCCCCACGCCTGTTGGAGTTGGGGTCTGAGGCCCCGACTCCTCCACCCGGCTCAGCCATGCTCCGGGCCCTGGGGCGGCTGGCTGGGAGGCCTCACCAGGCCACGTCACTGTGTTACCTCGAGTCAGGCAGAGCCCAAGGATCCCATGACGGGCCCTGCTTTGCGGGATCTCACTCGAAAGTCACGGAGCCAGGAGCCCCTGGGCTCCCCGTGCTGACCCCAGGACTGCAGCGGCCAGCGGAAGACCACACCACACCCCATCTTCCTCTTGAACTCCTGTGTTTCCCAGGGCCGTTCACCCCTCGAGTCCCTTCTCCCCAGCGGGCCCCTCCACACTGCAGCTCCCTTCTGCCCTCTGAGGTCTGGGGTCTGGGTTCTGGGTGGGCCCACACGAATGCCTGAGGGCCGGGGATGCAGGTACTGCGTGGGGGCTGGTGACAGAGCCCTGTCCTGGCTGAGAGGACCAGCCCCGCTCCTTCGCCAGTCAGCACCGCCACCGTCTCGCTGTCTCCTTCTCACTGATGCAGGTTTTGGGACGTAAGGCTGTGGAGGGGGAGCACAAGAGGAAGCAGTGTTACCCAGCCTCCATCCCCAAGGGCTGCCCCCTGCCCCCGGGGTGAAACCCACACCGCCCCGGGTCTCAGCATTCAAGGCCCCTGGAGACCTGGTCTCCTTCCCCAGCAGCCTCCAGCTCGGAGCAGGCTCGGCCACACTGTTCCCTCTGCCTGCCCAGCCCTGTGCGTCTTTTAGGATCCAGTTCAAGCATCCCCTCTCTGGGAAGCCTTCGCCCTTCGCATCCTCTCCGGGTTTCCCATGGTCCAAGGCCAACCCTCTCGATACAGCGCTTCTGCCCTTAATGGCTCTTTCCCCTCTGTACTGGCAAGACCTGGCTTCCGAGAAGCATACCACGTTACTCCCAGGGTTCTGACCCCATCACCCCTTCCACAGCCCCCTGGGCAGGTTCTCGGGTGGGGAAGATGGGGCTGAGGGCTGGCAGGGATGACAGACAGTGTCTGATGCTGCCAGCTTCTTCTCTGGAAGGAAGCCGGGTTGGAGGGGGGGAGGGAGCGCTCTGAGCAGAGAAGGAGACTGACCTGGGTCAGCTGCATTCTGCTTCCTCTTCGAGTTGGTAACGATTTGGTTTTCATTCATCATCTGCACGTCCTGGTCCTCTACCTGATTGCTGCGGGGAGGGAAAAGCCAGAAGGTGCCTTCCGGCTCCAGATGGCGTGTCTCTGCCATCCTTCCCCATTAGGGCTGGCGGAGGGGGAGATCAGAGGGGAGGGGAGGTCACAGGGCCAGCTCGGTGCGGGTGGGGGGGCGCACCTGATGGCGGTGTGCTTCTCCTGGTGACAGATGTCCGTGTCCTCGGTGAAGAGGATGGTGTGATAGGGCAGCGTGGGCTCGCATGTGGGCAAGATGCCCCCGACCAGGTGGCCCACCATGGCCAGGATCCCGTTATACACGAGCAAGTCATCCACCAGGAGCTGGACAGACAGAAGAGGGGCTGCGGGCCAGCACTGCCCTCCTCCTTCCCACGCGTGACCTCGAGTGAAGGACATCACTGCCCAGAGGCTTGCCTACTACATACCCAGCCCGTGTTGTGATTTCAAATCTTCACGATGGCCAGGAAAGGCACCTGGATCAGCCCCACGTTGCCGATGAGGATACTGAGGCTCCAAGCGCTCAAATCTTAAACCGGAGCTTGGAGGCAAACTCGGGTCTCTGGCCCCCAGGACTCCCCCGCCCCGATTCTCCCCACCTGAGTCGCCTCCTGGCAGAAAGAACTCCCCGCACCACTAATGATTCGAGAAGAAAAGATGAAAGAAAAGCCATGTTCTGTTTTTTCGGGGTGATGACTCAAATCACTCGGAGAAGGCTTTGAATTCACGGACGGATGGCATAGATCCCTGCCTCTGGGGACCCAGCATTTGTGTCTAAGGTTGCAGCCGACAGAAGTAAATCAAACTGTGACAAATGATAATTGCCGGCGGCCTAATTACCAACGAGCATAATTATCTCCCCAAACCCAGCTAATAAGTACTTACGCCAAACTCCTTCACCCCTCGATGTGGTGTTTTTGCGTAATTCCACAGTTTGATCATTGACACTGTGGTGGGCAGATCGAAAATCACATAAACCCGGTTCACCTGTCAAAGGGAAGAACTAATTCAAACAGGCATGTTTGGGAACAGAGGCACGGGGCTGGGCCGGGGGGTGCCAGGCGTGGGCCTGTGTTGGCCGGCTGGGCTGCTCCAGGGCTGCCGGGCGTGGGGTTCTCGCCGCCTCTCATCTCCCCGAAGCCCATCTTGAGTCAGGTCACGTGTGGCTGCGTTTGCAACAAACCGCTGAGCTAGCTGTTGAAGGGCCTCTTTTCTGGGCCTGGCGTGGCCCTCATTTAAATGCCCACGGAGAATCAGGGACACCCTTCCTTTTCCTCCAGGCCAGGCCCAGAAACACAGTCAGTCTGGGACTCCCAGGGCCAAGGGCGATGGCCCCTAACTCCAGAGTCAAGAGGCACGCCTCCCCCCGCCCTCCAACATCCCAACCCTAGAGCAATCAGCACCGCCTTGACCCCTGTTTGTCCTTTCCCTGAATCAAAAATGAAAAGCGTCACTGACTGGCCGGGAAGGTGCTGATGGTTAATTTCAGCAGAGATCTTTGAACCTCTGGTGTGGGGTAGTGGCGGGGGGGGATGTCCCAATCAGTGGCAAAAATCACCTAGTAAAGTAGGACCCAAGAGCCCCCCACCAGCTCCCCACCCCCAACACAGACTCTCAAATATTAGTTGGGGGGGCCTTGCAAGATGGGGTAAAGCAAATAGAATTCAGTGTTGGCCACAGGCTGCAGGCTTAGCGTTGACCCAGGTCCTGGCTTTCAGCCCCAAGAGGACATAGGGGGATACGGGAAGGGTCAACCTTCTGCTTGTACCATGGAAACATTCTAGATGAGGGGCTTCCAAATGAGTGCCCACGGGACTCAACTGGATACAAATATTTGAGTCCAGCTGGAAGAGGGACAGATGGGGAGATTGCCCCCACATCCAAAGGTCCTCGTGTGAAAGAATGGCAAATGCCTGCTGGTCAAGGTCAAGACGGCCGAAGGCTGGACTGGCTAGGGGCCACCAGTTTGCAGCCCCAGGTGTGAAGGCTGATAGATCTAAGCATTTCCTGTCTGCAGTGGTGGGGCTGGGGCTGGGGGCGGGGGTCAGCCTCTGCTCAAGGGAAGCTGACGGAACACCAAAAGGGTGCTGCCCCTTCCTGGGAGGGTTTTGAGAGGAAAATGTACCCCTTGTCTTCCCTCCAGGGGTCACAGAGGTGGGCACCCCAGCCCCTGCTGCACATCTACCTAGGCATCCGGGCCGGTGGCTGAGAGGCTGGGGGGTGCAATCTGCTCCATCCCATCCCGCGTGGCCCCTCGCCTCCCTTGCTACCACCATCGACCAGGCCCAGATGAGCAAAGGCCTGCCCCCAGGTTTGCCATCAGGCCTTGGAGCAAAAGGATGGGTGGGACCACTTGTAGAGTCTGTGATCTGGGAGACTGAGTCGGTGGGTTGCAAGAGCTTACCAGGCAGGTGTGAGGACAGAGAGAGGGCAAGGTGGGGGTCAAGTACCCGGTGACATAAAAAAGGAGCAGAAATCAGGAATGTAGAGAGGCTGGGGCTAGAGGGAAGAGGAGAGTGAAGCAGAGACGGGAAAGAGAACTGGAGAGGGAGGCTCGCAGGGATGGAGGGTTGCCCATGCCCCCAGGCCTGCTGCGCTGGGCGCCTGGCCTCAGAGGCCCACCTGGCCCTTCATCTCCCTGGTGTCCGGATCAGCACCCCCAGAGCAAAGGGAAAGACCTCTGGCCGGGAAGATGTGTTAGCAAAGACCCGAGCCTTCCTGGCAGCCCCCGGGCATTCTGACTTGTTTCGAGGTTAACTTGGCCTGGAAGGAAGATGTGTCGCTGATACTGGGGACAGAAAGTGCCACACACCCCCCCCCACCAGCCCCCCATTCACCCCAGGGCTGGGAGCCTGTGGAACCCACCAGGCCAGGCAGGATGGGGGCCAGCCACATGTGTCTGCCGTCGCTGGTGTTGTTCACTTGGTCGATGAGCTTGTCAGGGGTCCGGACGTCCCCGCACACCCCCTCCAGGGAGTTGACGCTGTCCGGGAAGGCGGCGATATCTGAGGACGTCTCTAAGTTGTCATAACCCAAAGCAGTGTGTTCGGCCCCGTGCACTGTGGGCCCCTCTCACGGCCGCCAGCCCCCATCATGCCGATGGCGTGGCCTGGGAGGACGCCGGGGTGGCCTGAGTTGCTGTCTGTTGCTCGGGGCAGCTGGAGGAGTGTCAGCCAAATTAGACATGTTCTGGGGGAAAAGGAAGGTGAGGAGGCTGAGGGGAGTAGGGGTGAGAGTGGAGGGGTGGCCAGTTTCAAGGAAAGGAAAGTATGCAGAGAGCAGGCTGGAAAATATGGGTTACATGGAGCTGCTGGAGGCCCGAATAAAAGGGGTTGCTGCCACTTTTATGGGCTTCCCTGGCGGCTCAGCTGGTAAAGAATCTGCCTGCAAAGTGGGAGACCTGGGTTCGATCCCTGGGTTGGGAAGATCCCCTGGAGGAAGGCATGGCAACCCACTCCAGTATTCTTGCCTGGAGAATCCCACGGACAGAGGAGCCAGGCAGGCTACAGCCCATGGGGTCACAAAGAGTCAGACACGACTGAGTGACTGAGCAGCAGCCGTGGCATTTTTAATTTCCAGGTCTGGTTCCTACAGGGACATTTCCCTCTACCTTCGAGGATTCTGCTCCTTCCCCTGGCACCCCCGTGCTCCCTGCAGTCTGGCTGGAGCCCCCCCTTCTGCCTAGAAAGGATACTGTTCTCTGACAGAGGGATTTTTTCTCCTCTTTCGTCATATAGCTCCAGGCCGGTAAGACCTATGTAATAGGGGTCACCCCAGCTGGTCAGGAGCTGAAACTGGAAAATGACTGGAACATGTTATTAAGGAAAAAACAGGCTTAATTTTCTGGAGAACAGAGGGAGACAATTACAAAGATAACAGGGATATATATATATGTGTGTGTATATATATATATATTTTGGTTTATAGAGATGAACGAGAGAGAAATAAGATTTTTTTCCCCTCTGAGACTAAAGTCAATCAAAATGTATGTGGCATGAAATTTTCTTTCATTTAAACAGCATATGAATGTGTGTGTGTGTGTTTGAAGAATTCAGAAGTTCTCTCCAGGCCCCGGGAGACAGGGCGACAGGCAGGGAGGGTGACCTTCAGGGAGCTGGCAGGATGGAGAAGCATCTGTCACAAACTCAGTGTACAGGGCTGAACAGTGACCAGACCTCATAAACCACCTCCTGCCTCAGTTTCCCTGGTTGTAAAATGACAAGATCAGAGCGCCTGTTCCTTCCTCCACCCATTTCAAGTGTGGAGGGTGTGAACAGCAAGGGTTGTGGGAGTGTCACAGCTTTGGGGGGACAGGCTGTGCCAGGGTGACCCCCTCCTGGTGCTGACTGCATCCCATGTGCCAGCCCTCCCGCAGCCCTGCCCTCCACTGGCTCCCAGCATCCCCAGGAGCAGACGGGCCAAGGAGCCTGAGAAGTGGGAGGGTGATCCCCGGGGAGGGCAGGGGGCGGGGTGCAGGTTGTAAATCAGAGGTGGTCCTCTCCGGGGAGATCAGGCAAATAAGAGTGCCAGGCTGTCTGTGCTCACTAACCTGACTCTACCTCTTCCCAGCCGTGTGAGCTGGCAAGTTACTTAACTGTTCTGTGCCTCAGTTTTCTCTGCTGTGAAATGGGGATGCTAGCAGTACCCATCTCACGGGGCTAACACGGCAGGTTCATACAGGCAACCCACTGCCAACAGTGCCAGGTGGCAGAAACGGTCCAGCACATTTGAGCTATGACTCTTTCCCTTTTCACCTCCTCCCTGCCTGGTTCCAAGGAGAGCCCCCAGCCCCATCCCCGGGTGGGTTCCCGCTTCTCTGGCCCCTCCCAGCTACAGTCCTGGCTGCTGCCTCCTGAACCTCAGTCCAGAGGGGAGTGGGGTCTGGAACTCGTGTTGCCCACCCCAGTCCCAGAAGCACTGGTCTCCCTGAGGACCTGGGAGCCCTCCCATCCTCTCCGCAGTTTCCCTGCATGGGCTCTGCTGCCTCGGCCGTGGCCTGGCTGAGACCCAGGGCAGCAGCTAAAGCCCAGATCCCGCCCCAGGGCCAGCAAGGAGCTCCAAGGGCCTGGCCCTCTCCCTGGGTTCTGGGCGTGGCCCCGAGGGCCTGCGATGTGTGATGTGCAGGTGGCAGGAGGAGGAGTCCCCGAATGACTCAGTGGTAAAGATTCCTTCTGCCATACCGGCGACTCGGAAGACTTGGGTTCGATCCCTGGGTGGGGAAGATGCCCTGGAGAAGGAAATGGCAACCCACTCCAGTATTCTTGCCTGGGATATCCCATGGACAGAGGAGCCTGGTGGGCTACAGTCCATGGTGTCTCAAAAGAGTCAGACACGACTGAGCAACTAAACACCAACAAGAGGAGGATACAGCCGCAGGGCATCGGGGGTGACTCATAGTCCATGCTCGCCCGCTCCAGGCTCTTTGTGTCCAGCCTGCAAACACAGAAGCAGAGGATTGTAGCGGCCTGAGTCGCTCGTCAGTTATTCCCCCTGGGAGGAGGGGGAGGAACAGAGAAGCTTCTGCTTGCACGGAGTTTCCATCCACCGGGGGAGGCTCGTCCCCTCGGGTTTGACTCGTAATCCTCACAACAACCCTGGGAGCTGGGAAGTGAAGTCACTTGCTCAAGTCACACAGCTGGGAGGTGGCAGAAGTGGGATGTGACCCGAGGTCGTCTGGTTTCAGGGTCCACGCTCTGAACCACCCCACTCGACCTCAGTCCCTTCACGAACAAGGTTAAGTCCACGCTATGCTAACAGCTGAGACCCACGATGGACCAATGGATTGTGGTGCTGGGAGGGGGCAGGCCATTACCCCAGGCGGTGGTCAGGGATGTGATGTCTGAGCTAAGGAGAAAGCAGCCATGGGAAGAGTCACAGCTGAGCTGAGCCTTCCAAGACGAACATCATCTAGAGCAAAGGCTGGAGGGAAGGAGCTGGGCAGTTGGTGTTTGCCCCAAAAAGCAGCCAGTCGGGGGTATGGGGTGGGACAGGAGACAGGCAGGGAGAGGAGGCTGGGAGGTAGCGAGAGCCCTGAAGGCTTTGGCTTCGTGGATCCTGAGCAAGGGGCTTCACTAGCCTGGGCCTCAGTTCCCACATCTGTGAAATGGGCACAACAACCCCTGCTTCAAAGATGGTTTGGAAGGATTATCTGAAGGATGAATACAAAGCATCCGGCTCAGAGCAGGCACCCAGGAGGCAGACTCTTTCCTCCCCCAGATTCCTCCCTGCAGGGCTTCTCTCCCTGGTCCACCACCAGTGACTTCCGGCTCTGGCCTGCTTTCTTCAGTTTCAAGGGCAATGTTGTAATTAAGTGACTATTCCCAGTATCTGGCCCCTGGAGTGATGCCAGCTACAGTAGAGGGAAACTCATTTTTGTTTCAAGAGCTTGGCCTCTGGTATTTGGACATCAGGGGGTTTAAATGAGTAAACTTAACGTGGCATTTACAAATTGTTAGGAACTTAAAGCAGCTGAGACTGGGGCCAAGCAGTCCCAGTGAATCCATGAAATGTTAGGCTCCGTTTTCCTCTCTGAATCTTTCTAAATCAGGAACACAGAAACAAGACGGGGAAGGCCCTTCGACAAATCGGCCAGCGGGCGTTTCTGGAATCTAGGCAGCCTGGAGCCTCTTTTCCCAGCAGGAAGCCCAACGAAGCATTTAAAATCTCAAACACTCAAAACTGTGAGAAACTCAAACATCCTCAGACAAGGTGGTACATCCCCAGGCTTCCGGAGAGGCTTGGCTAAGCTTTAGAAAACTGGCCAAGTTGAAAAGCAATGTGTTTGATCATCACTTCAAAGCCCTTTAGGTACAGGCTTCAGAGCCTGATGCAAAGCCAGGGCCGTAGGCTGGGAAGGCCCGTTTGGGGAGCCGCTCCACTCACCTCTGGACTGGCAGGGGCAACGGTCGGGCCTGCAGGTAGTCCACAAAGAGGATTTCTTGAGCAAAGTCAAAGTGGCAGTTGCCTGGTCCCTTCCGGATGAGGAAGCCCTCAGGAGGGGAGACACACAGGCCATCCAGGGAGACGTGGACGATCTTGGCCTAGCAAACGAAAAATACAAGGCTGAAGAGAAGGAGCCGGTATGAGGAGGGTGGTGAGCGCCGACGTGGCTAGAGGTCCTGGTAGCTGCCACTTACAACTGAGGGCATTCACGGAGCCCCCCAGGCCTTCCTCCAAGACCAGACCCTACCTGGTCAGGGGGCTCCTTTCCAATTGCCATCCCTACTCTGTGCCAGGTGCTGGGCAGACAGCAGAGGAGCAGGTGGGTGAGGGCCCCGCCACAGAGGACACATATAGACCTTCTCTGGTCTACTCAGCTGCAGAAGCCTGGGGTCGTCAAGGGCATGGACTCAGCTGCTCTGGGATCCACTGTGAGTAGCTGTGCAAGTTATTCGACCCCTCTGCCTCAATTTTCCTCATCTGTTAAATGGGTTCAATGAGGAGCTACCTTACATAAAGTCTCCAGAACAGAACAGTGCCTGGCATGCAGGGGTTTGCCTAGATAAATCCTTCTCCAACCCCGTTCACACCTCCTCTCCTCTCCTAGCCCTTTCCCTTGGGACAGAAGTGGACCCCTTCCTGGTTTTCTTTCTTGAGCCCTTGGCACATCCTGTTAAGGGCATGTACCCCATAGCTGTGTCCTGGGTGGTTTCTGGGTCTCCCTTGATGGCAGACTCTGACTGAATTATCTCTACATCGGCTTTAGGGCCTGGCACATAGTAGGTGCTTACTGAGAGCTTGCTGAATTGGTTGGATCTGGACCAACACGTCCCCCTGTTCTAGGCCAGATTTTGCCAGCCGGATGGCTGCGACCAACCACTCAATGTCAGAGCCTAGTGGCAGGGTCTGAGGTGGCTCAGCTCTGGTCCCCTGGGCAGGGGTGATGCTGGGTGAGCAGAGAAGGGGAATCAGGGCTCCTTCATGGTTAGCAGAACGGCCAGCTGCTGACCAAACCGAGGGTGTTTCACCCCTGGGAGATACAGAGAGGCTTCTCTGTGCAAAAAGAAAGGCGCCCTGTCCTGGGTCTCATGGATTACAATGTACCCCGGGGCCCTTCATTCCTTCAGCATTTAGGGGGTCCCCCTAGTCAGTCAGGGCTTCCCTGGAAGCTCAGCTGGTAAAGAATCTGCCTGCAATGCAGGAGACCCTGGTTCGATCCCTGGGTTGGGAAGATCCCCTGGAGAAGGGAAAGGCTACCCACTCCAGTACTCTGGCCTGGAAAATTCCATGAACTGTATTGTCCATTGGGTCGCAAAGATTCGGACATGACTGAGCGACTTTCACGGTCACTTCCTAGTCAGTCACAGGGTGTATACACCTAGAAGGTATAGAGGGCTAGCTCCAGGCACGGCTGGATATGGCAACCCCAAAACTGTCACTATACCTCCACTTTGCTTTCCTCAAGGTTCCTGCCCAGGCCCCAGGGCTGGACCTGTGACCCAGGCCTGGCCAAATGGAGAATTGTCACCCCTTAGCCATGTGATTGGTTCAGAGAGATGAAACTCGACTAGAACAATCAGCATGGCTCCTGGGGTTTTGCTGGTTTGCTTGGAAAGAGGAGTTCTCTCTTCTGCTGGACTTGGAGCAGGCAGGATGTAAGTCTAGCACTGCCAGGGTCTGCCTGGTGGAGAAAGCCACCTGAAGTGACACTGAGGCCCAGGAAGCCCTTGTCCCTCTTCTAGAACCACCACCTCCTCCGGGAAGCATCCCTGACTTCTCCAGCACCCCATTCCTTCCCTCAGGGGGAGCTTTAATTATCACCTCCATCTTACAGTGAAGGAAGCTAGAGTTCAGAGAGGCCCAGCAGTTTGCCCAAGGACACCCTGGAGGGCTGTGGAGCCCGCCTCCCAGAGTGCCGGGCTCGGCTCTAACCTCACGCTGGGGGCCCGGGGCCAGCGTGCCCAGGACGTCTTGTGGGGTAGGCATCTGAGGCACACTTTCCCAGGGAAGGAGAGAGGGGGCCAGAGTTCCCATCCCCCTGCAGCCAGGATGCGCCCTCTCGGAGGGGCCCACCGTCCCACGGTTGCCACTCGTCACGGGCACTGCAGCTGGTGGGGGCCGCTCCTGGGAAGCAGGGCCCCAGGCCCCGCGTTTCCAGGCGGTAAATCTAGCACTGTGGAAGCTCAACTGGACAGACAGATTCACTGAGGGGAAGGCCAAGGCCCAGAGGCACGAGATGAGGCAGAAGAATGTTTTTTAATGCCAGTATAGCTGATATTTTATACGCGCTTGGCCCGAGAGTGTGCTTACAAAGACACCAGGGCAGCCTCGGGCCGGGGGTTTGTAAATTGCACGTTCCGGGGAGCCGAGGCTCCTGAAGGAGGTGGCGGTGGGTGGTGGAAGGGGGACTGCTCACTCCACTGTGATAAATCACCAGCGTCTTAAGGCCCTGGACGTGGTGAGGAGCCAGACATGGGCTCAGAGTAGCCTCACAGGCCAGGTCCTGGTCTTGTCAACCTCTGTGGGGTAGAGGCAGGCATCTTTCTCCTCTTCCTTTTGCAGCCGAGGAAACTGAGGTCCAGAGAAGGCAGGCCACGTGCCAAAGGTCACACAGCTGTAAGGGCTGAGGGGCGGGGGAGGGGCTCAGACGCAGAGCCTGCTGACTTCAGGGTCCTAACTGCATTGCCATACTTTAGGTGACCTGGTCATCATCGTGTCTGTGTGGTGGGAGGGGACAACTGTCTCATGGTTCACGGGCACACCGGTCAGAAAACCCATGAAAGGGGGCACCTCCTGATAACTCTTTCCCACAAGCCAACAGAGGCCCCTGCTTTTCCACTCCCAGCGGGAGAAGAGCATGATGTGGAAATCAGAGTGTGGGCAACCAAGCCCAGCACACGGGGGCTGGGCCTCTAGCTGTGTGACCTTGGGTGAGTGCCTGGACCTTTCTGAACCTCGCTTTTCAATATCCTGAAAGATGGGGGTAATAACACCTGTCTCCCAGAGGCTGGGATGCGGGTCCAGTGAAATGACCAGGTGTGAGAAGCTCTCAGCCCAGGCCTGGCTCCCAAATCTCTCAGAGAACAACAGGGCTGTGCAACTAGGCACTGTGCGTGGGGGTGCTGGGCCCGCTGAGGACCCCCAGAGGACACGAGGCGCTGCAGCTCCCCGAGTCTGCCCTGAGCTCTCTCGCCTGCATTTGCTGTTTGCAAAAGAAGAAAACGGCAGCAGCTCTCTCACTCCCCGGCAGTAACCTCCCCCAGCTCCATTTGGAAAGTTCTAGAGGATTTATGCTCCTCTCCGGCAGCCACACCAGCCATTCATCAAGACACTGTTTCTCTGACAGTGGACCGAGCGCAGCCGCTGTTCCCCGCCTTACCCCTCGATAGGTGTCCTCGGGAGATTTATTGTAGTTCCAGAAGCGAAGGCCTGCGATGCTTTCGGCTCTGTCGAAGCGGATCGTGACCACGTGGTCCAGCCCCGGCGAGAAGGGGATCAGCCACATATGCTCATCCTCCATCGTGATGTTGGCTCCATCAATTAACCTGCGCTCAGTGGGGAAGGCGGGGAGAGCTGAGGGCAGCCCGGTCGGCTGGGAGAACTCACACTGTGGGGTTGGCACCCACTCCTCTCCCCACCACGATGGCCGCCCCTGCCTGGCACGAGCCTGGCTGGATCAGGCTCGTGAAGGGGAGGTGAGACTAATCAAAGCAACAGTGAGGAGTCATCACTTACCTGTGAAGTTAAACAAAACAAGAAGCTGGGGGAGACAACAGCCTGTGCTGTTAAAGGGATTCCCTGGTGGCTTAGAATGTAAAGAATCCGCCTGCAATGTGGGAGACCCAGGTTCAGTCCCTGGGTCAAGAAGATCCCCTGGAGAAGGAAATGGCAACCCACTCCAGTATTCTTGCCTGGGGCCGAGTTGCCTGGTGGGCTACAGGCCACAGGGTCGCAAAGAGTCAGGCATGACCGAGCGACTAACACTTAGATGCTGTTAAAGATACACTGAAGCGATCATCAAGGTTTTTAAAAAGGATGGGGGTGAGGAATATATTATTTTTCAGGACTCTTTAACCCACTTCTAGAATTTTCCCCCTAAGAAAAGTTTATTCAACATGTCAGAAAGCCATCTGTACCCAGGTATTACTTGCATTAACAACAAACAAACCAACACTGAAAGATCTAAAAAGAGGGAAAGGTTCAGTAAATCTATACAGTAATTAAGATGATCATCATGAGGATGATGTAGTAAAGTGAAAAGCCAGGTTATGGGATGGCAGGAGCACTGGTTTTAATGTTGTAAAATGAGGACAAGGACCAAGAGAGATTACCAAAAATGAAAAATATATTTCTGTCAGAGGGGATAGGAAGTGACAATTTCTATTTCCCCAGCTTTCTGTAAAATGCTGTATTGACTCTATGGTACATTTTGAAAGAACTCTATTCCTTCTTCCTTGTGCTGGAGGAGAAAGATACTAAAGCACTAGGGAGAACTTGGCAGCTCCTGGCGTGGGACAAGTACGAGAAGGAACAGGTGCCTCTGGAGGGAGGTGGTCTGGCCTATAGTCACACAGCCTGGGTAGCCCAGGGCAGCCTGCCCACCACTGGGCGGAAGCCCCCAGCACCCTCATGTTCTTTTTTTAAAAAATAATTTTACTTTCGGCTGGGCTGAGTCTCCGTTGCCATGCGGGCTTTTCTCTAGTTGCGGAGAGCGGGGGCTGCTCTCTAGTTGCAGTGAGCGGGCTTCTCATTGTGGTTGAGAAGCACATTCTCTTGTTGCAGAGTACAGGCTCTAACAGGCTGCGTAGTTGCAGCTCCCAGGCTCCCGAGCACAGGCTCAGTAGCTGTGGCACGCCGACTCAGTTCCTCCTTGGTATGTGGCATCTTCCCGGACTGGGGATCTAACCTGTGTCCCCTGCATTGATTGGCAGGTGGAGTCTCTACCACTGAGGCAGTGGGGAAGCCCCATCATGTTCTAAAAGAGCTCGCCAGCTGGCCCACACTGCACTCCCACACTGGCTCATCCTTCCCAATTCTGTCCAGCACACCTCAGCCCTGACCCCAGCCCTGGTCTCATTTCCACTGAGAGGCCTGGCCCTGAGATAGGAACCCACCTCTCAGTCTCTTGGGTGACCCTCCTCCCCCCACTCTCCCATTTTCCAGGTGACTTTGAAGCTGGTGCCATGTTTCCTAGATCTAATTTATTATTATTAATTGTTTTACGTCTTCATTGAATTTGTTACAATATTGCTTGCTTTACGTTTTGGTTTTTTGGTTGAGAGACACGTGGGCTCTTAGATCCCCGACCAGGGATCGAACCCATACCTCCTGCACCGGAAGGCGAAGTCTTAACCACTGGACCGCCAGGGAAGTCCCTTCTAGATGTTAAGATAAACTTTGCTTTTCCTTTTTACATTTTAAAGTTTTGGACTTGGAATAAATCTTACAAGCAAAGTGTTCATCCAAGAAGGTAATGTTTCTTTTTTTTTCCTCTAAAAGGTTGTTATTAAATTGATGGATGGTGTGTCTTACAACTTCTGGCATCTTAGAACTGAGGAAATTCAGCAGTTTAACCCTGGGGTGTTTGTGGAATTAAGCTGGCTGAGGTCTACCACTAGAGAACCTTCTGTTTCCTTCCAAAAGCAATTACCTCCCTGTCCTAGAAATGGGGCCACTTCCAAAGAAGAACTACTGCCCAGCTCTGAGAGTGGAGAGACCTGTTGAAGTGCTCAGAGCTGACAGTGAAGGGAATTCCCTAACGGAAACTCTCAAGAATATATAAATGGTACTTCCTAGCTCTGTCCACAAAAAATCCTAGAAACAAGGACTGACCCAGTAGCAATGAGCATCCCTAGTGGCTAGACTATGGTCTCTAAATACCATTTCCCACTAGAAGGAGCCTGGGCTTCTAGGAGAAATGGCTGATCCCATACTGGGGATAATACGTGTACAAGAGGAACCTGGGATTCCTTGTCATATCAGAAAGGAAGGCAGCTATGAGAGACTATTTCTCAGAAGGATTCAGGAGCCCCCAGTGTCCAAAGAGGGATCAATCTGACCATCCATAGGATAAACCTGAAGTAGACTGAAACCCTTCAGACACAGTAGATTTAAATCCCTGAGTTTATGGTAGTCAAAACCAAACAAATGCTTTAAACGATTCTAGAGAAACAATTTGCTCTTTTGAAAACTGAAGAAATAAAAGGAAAGAATCAAGCATCAAACTGTCTTTCCTGTTTGAACTGTACCTCAAAGTAACTAAGTAATTGAGGCAAATTTTCCCTTTACTGACAAAAACAAACAAAAAGAATGATAGGATCAGTCTATCATCATTTCACAACCCCTAAAAGAGTAGTAGATCTAACCACTAAGTGTTGGCTAACAGCATCACAAAAAGCCTGACAACCAGATGGTCCATGAGTCCAAAGGAAATATGCCCTGACATACATGACCTGATAGTTATGTCTTGCTCTAAAGGCCAAATCTCAATATGATCAGGCCTCTAGATCTAGTGAACAGTTTACAAGAAATACAGGAGCTTGAGGAACAAGTTAATACCATAGTGATGCAGTAAAATCCAGACTCAACAGAGCAAAAACCCTGGTTTCTTCTACAGATAATTTATAAGAAAAAAGTGAAAACAGATGGAAGGGAACCCAGAGATTATGAGAGGCTTAGGTGATATATCAACCATCAAAGGACTTACCAACAAATAGAAATAGACTCACAGTCATAGAAAACAAACTTATGGTTACCAAAGAGGAAAGAGGCAGGGGAGGAATAAATAGGAGTTTGGAATTAACATATACACACTACTATATATAAAATAGATAACCAACAAGGACCTACTATATAGTACTTAATATTCTGTAATAGCCTCTAACAGAAAAGAGTTTAAAACAGAATATGAATATGCATATATATATATTATATATATATATTATACACAGATACATGCATATGTGTGTGCTAGTTGTTCAGTTGTGTCTTACCCTTCAAGACCCCATGGACGATAGCCCACCAGACTCCTCTGTCCATGGAATTCTCTAGGCAAGAATACTGGAGTAGGTAGCCATTCCTTTCTCCAGGGGATCTTCCCAACCTGGGATGAAACTCGGGTCTCCTGCATTGCAGGCAGACTCTTTATCATGTGAGCCACCAAGGAAGCCCATATATGCAGAAATTTATATATATATATATACATATACATATATGTATATACATATATTTGTGTATATATGTGTATATGTATATGCTTATACAGGCATCCCAGGTGGCGCTAGTAGTAAACAGTCTGCCTGCCAATGCAGGAGACATAAAAGATGTGGGTTTGATCCCTGGGTCAGAAAGATACCCTGGAGGAGGGCCTGGCAACACACTCCAGTGTTCTTGCCTGGAGAATCCCATGGACAGAGGAGCCTGGTGGGCTACAGTCCATAGAGGCAGGCAGTCAGAGAAGAATAAAGTGACTTAGCACAGCACAGCTCGTATGCATATGTATATATTTACATATATGTGTATCTATATCTGCATCACTTTACCATATACCAGAAACTAACACAATACTGTAAATCAACTATATGTCAATAAAAATTTTAAAATATATTTTAAAAATTAAAAATTTGTTTTTTACCTATGGCACTCAGCTTGCAGGATTTCAGTTCCCTATCAACTAGGGATCAAACCCAGGCCCCCAGCAGTGGAAACACAGACTCCTAACCACTGGACCACCAGGGAATTACAAAAAATAATTTTTAAAGAGACACAGTAAGCAATCACAATGTATAGACCATATCTGGATGTCAATTCAAGGAACAAACTGTTATAAAGGGGGGAAAAAAGATGGTCAGGGAAACAGAAACATGCTAGATATCTAGTAATTTAAAAGAGTGCTCAGTCACTCGGTCATGTCCGACTCTTTGTGACCCCAAAGAGTCGCCCGCCAGCCTCCTCTGTCCATGAGATTCTCTAGACAAGAATGCTGGAGTGGGTTGCCATTTCCTTCTCCAAATTTAAAGGAAGGACTGTTAATCATTTAGGTGGAATAATGATATCTGGATCAGGTTTAAGTCCTCATTGTTTAGAGATACATACTGAAATACCCAGAGATGAAATACTTTCAGACCCAGGATTTGCTGCAACATACTCTGGGCAGAGGGGAAGGAACTGGGTGGGTGTGGATGAACAAGCGAGGCCAGGCCAGCTATGAGCAGATCACTTTTACAATTGGCAGCGGGGACCACAGGCTCCCAGTCTAAGTCTGCAAGAGTGTGACTCACCAAGATGGCCCCTGATCGGGCAATGCAGCAGCCGTGACGGCCACGGTTAAGGAGCACCCTGGAAGAAAGCAGGGAGGAGGCCCCCACTGATTCCACACACTCTGGGCCAGGCAGTGGGTGCAGTTGTGACGTGGCAGCCCCCTTGCTGCCCAATAGCCAGATTACTGTCCCCATTCTACTGAGGCAGGGGAAGACAGTATAACTTTGTGGTTAAATGCACGGGTGTTGGTCTTCCACTCACCTGTGTTCAAATCATGACTCTGCCACTCAGCTAACGTGGGTGACCTTTGAGGTACCTCTCTGTACCTCGGTTTCTCCATCTGTAGAGTGGGGGCCTCTGAGGGCTGTCTGAGATGTTAATGAATGAATATCTATAACCTACTTAGCATAGCCCAGTGTCTGGCATTTAATAAGTGCTCAAAAAATGGCAATTATAATTTCAGTTATTATTATTATTATCATGATTATTACTACTGGAGAAGTTAAGAAACTAGCTAGCAAGGGGCAGAGACAGGATTTGAATTCTTATCTCTCTGGCTCCCCTAGACTCTTCTTGTTCACACCTGCAGGCAGGGCCCAAGCCTGACAGCTGTCCTGATTCAGGGGTGCCTGAACGCTGTGGATCAATGCTGTGTCCAGGCTTGTCCTCTTGCTGACTTGACTCAACCTGGGCTCATGAAATCAGACAAATTCAGAGCAAAGGGCAGCTTCAGCCATCATCTTCAGACTCAGGGAGGGGAACATTTTCAGTCCCCGAGAGGTTGGGTCCCTCAGGCCTAAACACACAGCCAAAGGCTTACCAAGCAGTTACCGTGTTTGAGGCCCCATGCTAAGCACCATGAAAGTTTAAAGTGAAAGTCACAAACACTCTGTGTGACTCCATAGACTGGAGCCCACCAGGTGCCTCTGCCCATGGGATTTTCCAGGCAAGAATACTGGAGTGGGTAGCCATTCCCCTCTCTAGGGGATCTTCCCAACTGAGGGATTGAACCCACATCTCCTGCACCTCCTGCATTGCAGGCAGATTCTTTACTGTCAGGGCCACCAGGGACTTCAAGCATCATGAAGGTAACACATAGCACAGCTGGGTCTGGAAGCAGGAGAGCCTGGCTTCCAATCCTGCCTACCTCTTCCAGCTGTGTGGCCCTTTCCTGGGCCTCAGTTTCCCTTGACTATAAAATGGGCAGACGCCAGACCTTGGGGTGGCCGGAAGAAGGTGCAATAGGGAACGCCAGGGGATGCCAGTTGATGATTAAGTCTGAAATTTACGATGCACATCAGGTCCCCAGGCCCCTGCTGTCATGAGCCTTGTGCTTCTTATAGACACTCACTTGTCCAGGGTCCGGGAGTCGTCCGTGTACTCAGGGAGGTCATTTAAGTCTCTGGGGGAGGCAGAGATCTGGTGCGGGTTGATGGGCAGTGCCTGGCCATCCTGGCCCACCACCTCCAGGCCGGTGAGCCCCAGGTAGTGCAGGTCACCCCAGGAGGTGGTGAAATTCAGTTGGAGGCCTGTGGCAAGAAGTGAAGTGTCCGGTGAGCACCAGATATTCTGCAGGAGCTACTCAATCCTAAAAGAAATCAACTCTGAATATTCACTGAAAGGACTGATGCTGAAGCTGAAGCTCCAATACTTTGGCCACCTGATGTGAAGAGCTGACTCACTGGAGAAGACCCTGATGCTGGGAAAGATTGAGGGCAGGAGAAGGGGATGAAAGAGGATGAGATGGCTAGACGGCATCACTGACTCATGGACATGAGTTTGAGTCAACTCCGGGAGATAGTGAAGGACAGGGAAGCCTGGCATGCTACAGTCCATGGGGTCGCAAAGAGTCGGACACGACTGAGCGACTGAACAGACAACCCAAGACGGAGGTGGCAAGAGGACTGATTTCAGACTCTCTATTCTACCAGCTGGAAAACTCAGACTTGAATGAAAGGGCCTTCAGGGTAGGCTCTGCCTTTCTTCTCGGTAGCCCTTGGGCCTGGGTCACTGTTGATACTCAAGAAACGTCTGCAGGATGAATGGACCTGTGTGGTTTAACCCTGCACACAGCCTTAGGTCCTTTCTCCACTCATCAGCCACGTTGCCCACCCCAGGATTAGCACCCTAGCATGGCTTCCCATGCTGCTCGACCAGCATCCTTGCCATCTGGATTCTGTCTACTTCTTTAATCTCATCTTGTGCCCAGGATCCCTGGGGCCACCCAGATGTTCTTTCCATCCCTCATGTTCACAATGCTTTCTCTCACCACAGGGCCTTTACACATGCTGTTTCCTCACTCCTGAACTCCCACAGCCTAGGCTAAGTTGTGCCCATCCCTCAGATCCCAGCTTACTTTCTTAGAGAAGCCCTCCCAACTTCTCTGACCACATCAAGCCTCCATTCCAAGCCTGCCATGTCACTGTGGATGTCCCCTTCCATGCTCTGGTCACCATGGTGAGCTTGGGACTGTTTGGTAAATTTCCATCTGCCCTGTCAGACAGTGAGCTCCTTGAGGGCTGAAATCCCATCAGTTTTGTTAGATCATAGTGCCCCCAGAGCTGGGCACAGTACCTGCCACACAGTAGGAGCCCAGTACAGATGGAAAGATTAAACAAGTAACTACATGGAGGTGGCTGCACCAGTAAGCAACAAGGTTGGAAATGGACACTTTATGCCACTATCATGAGGATTCACATGGATTCAAGGGAAAGGAAGTGATCCAGTAACACCCCCATTCTTTTGCCCTTGTTCCACCCCTGCTCCAACAGGGAGCATTTCTTAAAAAAAATATTTATTTATTTGGCTGCATTGGGTCTTGGTTGGAGCACGCAGGATCTTCATTGCATCATGCGGGATCTTTCACTGCAGTGCACAGACTCTAGCTGTGGCATGTGGGCTTAGCTGTTCCATGGCACGTGGGATCAAACCCGAGTCTCCTGGATTGCAGGGCGGATTCTTAAGCACTGGATCATCAGAGAGTATTTAGGTGTGAATTTCTGTGGTCCCAAGGCAAAACTTCCCAGGTGAGTCATTCATTTGCCCAGAAAGCTCAAAGCGAATGAATCTCTGTCTGATATCTGGCTGGAACTTCTCTTCCCTTAATGGTCTCCCATCAGCAGGACCAAGTCCAGTGACCTCTTCCACCCTTGGAGAATTGGGGGCCTACTTTAGAGCTCTTCTGAGTGGCTGTATTCCAAAGAGTCACACTTGTTGCAACTGTTACAGAATGCCAGCATGGGAGCACTGGAAGAAGGAAGTCTGGATTCATGGCATTCCACGCACTTCAGCTCAGATGAGGAGGCAGAAGCTCAGGGAGGTTGAAGATATCTGTGTGGCCAGGAAGTGAGGCCAAAGCAGAAAACCACCCTGGAACGTGGCTTCCTCTCTTGTCATTTCCAACATATGTTTCATAACTCGGCCTCAGATCCCTCTGCTTTTCATGATGCCAAGGTAGCTCTGAGCATCTTGGGGGCAGATGAGACAGATGGGTGACCAGAGTGGTTCTGGATGCATCATAGCCCCTCACAGCATCAGTAGCCTGCAATGCAGCCACAGATTCCTCCCTCTGAGTCCTTGTCTCTGTGCCACGTGATCTTGCTGCTTCTGTCATACAGAAGTGGCGTCTATTTCTCCACTTTCTGAATCTGGGCCATGTGATTTGCTTTGGCCAATGGAACAGAAGCAAATGCAAAACCAGCAGAGGCTGTAAAGCATGTGGGCAGGGGGCTCTGGCCCATCTTTCTACACTTGGGAGTCTTGCCACCAGAAAGAGCCGGGCTAGCCTCCCAATTGCTGGCTATGTAGTTGAAGACATCCGAGGTTGTTCAGCTGCCAGTCCATCTGCCAGCTAACCAGACACAAGAGCAGGCCCCACAGAGGCCAGCTACGTTCAGATGTGAAGAAACGCCCAACAAAGCTATTGAATTATGATGAATCATGATTAATGGTGATTATGTTAGGGCACTAAATTGGGGGCTGGTTTGTCTAGCAGCAGAAGCTAACTGATACATTCCTTTTCATGGTGAGTCTATGTTCAATTATCTCCTCAGAGAAAGAGGAAGTGTTAGCTGCATCCGACTCTTTGTGACACCACAGGACTGTAGCCTGCCAGTTTCCTCTCTTCATGGAATTCTCCAGGCAAGAACACTATAGTGGGTAGCCATTTCCTTCTCCAGGAGGTCTTCCTGACCCAGGGATGGAGTCTGGGTCTCCTGCAGGGGAGGCAGATTCTCTACCATCTGAGACGCCAGGGAAGCCCAGAAGCCCTGAGCTCAAATGCACCCTCTGCCATTGCTCCTAAAGCTCTTATTCTGCTTTATTTTCTGTCATCCAACGAGATGTTCTATGTTGATTTGCTTATTATCGCTTATTGATTTGCTTCTTTATTTTCATCGGTTTTCCCCACTTAGATGGAAACTCCCTAAGGGCAGAAACTCTGTTGACAGTGTTCACTGTTTTATTCCAAGATCCTAGAACAGTACCTGAAAACAGATGGTCAGTTAAGGCTTTAAAAAATAAATAAATGATTGATTAAAGAGTACATGTTTAGTAACCTGTAGGTAAATCAATCAAAATACAATCATTTGAGTTTCACCAAAATAACAGCCAATGGTAAACAGATATTTATTACCACTAATGCAACAAGTGCTTTTCACACTGTTCATGGGCTTCTCACGAATATTCATTGGAAGGACGGATGCTGAGTCTTAAGCTCCAATACTCTGGCCACCTGATGCGAAAACCTCCTTGGAAAAGACCCCGATGCTGGGGAGGATTGAAGGCAGGAGGAGAAGGGGACAACAGAGGGTGAGATGGTTGGATGGCATCACCAACTTGATGGACATGAGTTTGAGTAAGCTCCTGGAGTTGGTGATGGACAGGGAAGCCTGGCGTGCTGCCGTCCATGGGGTCTGTACAGCAACAGAACCAAGCCCTGTTCTTGGCACTGGAGATTCAGGGGTAAATATCAATACACAGCAAAATCTCTCTAGGAGCTTCCATTGCAGTGAAGACAGACAATGAACACATAATAACAACAACAACAAAAATAAATCGGATACTTCCACAGAGTGATGAATACATGACAAAAAGTGAAAGGGATAGGATAGGGAGTGACTAGGCAGGGGTGGGGGTAGTCATGGAGGACTTCTTGGAGGTGGTGACATTTAAGCTGAGACCTGGGTGATGAGAAGGAGGCCGCCATCCTGTAGCATTTCTGGAAGAATGTTCTAGGTTGAGAGGACAGAAAGAGTAAAGGCCCTGGAATGGGAACACATTTGATTTGTGGTTGGAACTAAGTGACAGAGGGAGAAGGTGGAAGAAAATTAGATCAGAAGGGCAGGTGGGGGGGGGGTGGCTAGATCGCATCAGGAGGTCTGGATTTTCTTCTCTTCAAAGAGGAGCTAGGGAAGCTTATATTTGGGAGCAGAGAGGTGACACGATCTGACCAGTGTCTTGGAAAGCGCACTGGGGTAGGACTCCATAAGGAGGCCAGGGAGGACGCTGTTGTGATCCCTGTGGCCGGGACCAGGTGGGTAGTGGCGGAAATGGGGCAAAGTGGACAGATTCAGGGTCGGTACTGGAGACAGCAATACCAGGACTCTCAATGGCCTGGAAGGAATCGAGGGAAAGAGAAAATTCTCCTGACCCAAGGGACAGAGCGCCTTCGGGTCCCACATCCCTGAGATGGTGAAGGCCTGGAGGGGGAGGAGGGAGCCGATTTGGATCAGGGGATCCCTGTGGGAAGAAATGCCACCTTCCTTGCAAAGCAGGAGGCAGCGCCCCAGATTCTCCCACGCCGCCCCTACTTTGTTTCCCTGGCAAGATGCACTGTTGCTGTTCCATTGCTAAGTCGTACCCGACTCTGCAATTCCATGGACTGCAGCGCGTCGGGCTTCCCTGTCCTTCACTATCTCCCGGAGTTTGCTTAGATTCATGCCCATTGAGTTGGTGATGCTCTCTAACCATCTCGTCCTCTCCCACCCACTTCTCCTGAATCAGGGTCTTTTCTCATGAGTCGGCTCCAAGATGCACTGAGATACCATCTAATCTAGGGTTGCTGCAAAAGCGATTACTCTCCTCTTTGAGCTAATATCCATGTTCCATATTCATTTTTCTCTGATGTATCAATTAGTATTTATATAAATGGAAATTAATTTTGTTATTTCTCTCTCATGTTTCAACTCTCTCAGCTCCTTTCCTATTCATCACTCCTGATATTTGCAAAACTTCTAAAATTAGTGTCATCTGCAAATTAGCAAGTCATATATCTCCTTTCAAAACATTAATAGGATTGGCCGTATTTACCAACCCTAACGCATCCCCCCTGGGTCACTTTATCAAAGCGCTCTTCATGTGCACAGGCTGGGAGAGCACATTTAGGATTTGGGATACAGGGAGGGAAAAAGGCAAAGGTTCAGAGAAGGCAGCTTTGGAAATCACAGGTCTCAAAGTGGGCAGAGGGTCCTTGGTCAGCAGGTTCTTGTGCCATCCTACACAGACAAATAACGCTTTTCTTGCAGCAAAAAGGTCTGGGAGCTCTGCTCCAGGGCAAAACTCCCCAGGGCATTGAAATAACATTTCTGAGAAAGGTCAGAAGCTGGTTCAGCAGCAAAAACATTTACAGACAGCATCTTTGGGGGAAATCATCAGATGGAGGGGACACTGGATGCTTCCGGCCGGCCTTCCTTCCTTCTTCCTCTGGTTACGGCACTCTAGCCTTCTCTGAAGCACCATCAGGGTGGCTGACTCCCCACCCATGGCTCTAAAGATGGGCCTCTGATCCAGGCTAGGCCAATCCATGTTTTCCATCCCTTCCCTCCCTTCCCACCAAGGTAAGCCACAGTGATTAGTTAAGCTTGGGCACGTGAGCCAGGTGAGCAGACATTCCAGGAAGACTGTTGGACTTACTGGGAAACAAAAGCTCTTTTACCTGGAATTACAGGGTAGAGCTTCAAGGAGCTCCCATGTGGATAGGGTCTGAACGGGAGACAGACAAGAGACCGAGAAACGGGGCAGAAAGACAGAGGGAGACACCAAGCCTTGATGACATTGTTTGCACACCTGGATCCGGCAGTGTGGGAAACTAGCAACCCCTGACCTTTCTAGTTACATGCATGCATGTGTGCTCAGCTATGTCTGATTCTCTGTGACCCCATGGACTGTAGCCCACCAGGCTCCTCTGTCCAGGCGAGAATACTGGAGTGGGTTGTCATTTCCTCCTCCAGGGGATCTTCCTGACCTACAGATCATCTCCCAAGCCTCCTGTACTGAAGGCAGATTCTTTATCGCTGAGCCACCAGGGAAGCCCTTTGAGCTACATAAGCTAATACATTTCCTTTTTTGCTTAACTCAGTTTGAATTCAATTTTCCTTATCCCCACCCCAAATCCTGACCAACCTAGGGGAGCCCAGACTAAACCAGAAATGACTGCTGTCTCCCAGTTTTGTGAGATGCTGACTCCTCCCAAAGACCTCTCTGGAGTATGTTGAGTGGTGAGGACCTGGATGGTGAATTCAGACAGACTCGGTCCCGTCCTTGACCTCGTACTAGCTGTGTGACCCCGGGTGGCTGTCTCCATCTCTCAGAGCCTCAGTTTCCTAACCTCATCTGGAAAATGGGGAGAATAAGAGCTGGAAGTGAGATAAGGCAGGGAAAGCCCCAGCACAGGGCCTGGATGGGGGAAAGAAACCAAGTCTCAAGCCGGGCCTTGGCCTACATTGTGCTGGCTTTCAAATCACTCGGTTGTCCCTGAGTCCCAAAGTAACTGAGAGAGTTCTGGAAAGTAAAGGGCTAAGGATTCAAAGGTAAGGCTTCTTCCTCTCTTCTCAGAGGTGATCTGTGCTTGTGGAATGAGGGAGGGGGAGCTGAATTCTCACTGGGCACCATGCAGATGGGAGTGGGTCACAGCGAGGCCTTAGGAAGGGGGTGTGGCGGACCATGGGACACCCCCCCAGATCCCACCTCCCGCCCCAGGGGTGGCGTGCTGGGACTGGTGACACGCTGATGACCCCCCACTTTGACTGCACTTGGTGTTGCCCCTCCCCAGCCTGTATCAGGTGACCTATTAACACAGGCGTGTAAAGGCCCAGCCCCCTACTCAAGACAACTTCAAGAGGCCTTTGCGCTCCCTGTGGGGCTGGCAGAGGCCTTGGTGTGATTGCCCCGTGGCCCAGTTCTCTGTGCCCAGCCCTGCTTCCTGCCCTCCCCCAGGAGCACGCCCCAGTAAACTCCATCTCAGAGGCTGCTTCTTGGGAAGCCAGACAGTGGCAGTCGACATCCTTTTAAAGGGCAGAGACGGAGAGCGAGGGCATGCCAGGTGGGCATGGCCTGCACAGAAGCTTGGGGGGTGGCGGGGGCTCAGGAGATGGGGGTGGGGAGGAGCGGAGCAAAGAGGAGGCTAAACTCTGACACCTTAAGTCCGTTCTGGAGATGATGGTGGGGAGGTGCAGAGGGGGCGTGACGATGGCATGGCCCATCTCTTCCTCTCAGAAGATAACTGGAGATGGATGGCGGGCACAGGGTGCAGAAAGAGCAGGAGGGGAGGTGGCAGCAAGCAAGCTGGCAGAGCCTTGAGAACAGGGAACGGGAGGCAGAGACCACAGCCAGTGTGACCGGGGCACAAGGGTCCCCTAGGACTCAGGCAGAGGTGGGGAATGTGTGCCGAGTCAGAGAGGACCTGGCCCGAGGGGCACACGGGCAGAGGACAGAGAACAGATACAGTGAGACCCATACAGGATCTGCCCAGAGATCACCAGCCAGCAGCCGGCTGGGCAAACGCACATGTGTTATGTTTGGCTCAATGAGTGTTTTTACATTATTGTAAAATTAGTCACCAACATTTAAAAACCTGAAGATTTCACGTAAAACATTCAGATTCCTGACTTTTTAGAAGAATGGGCACCTGGGCCGGTACTCCTGATGCCCCACCCCAGCTGGAGCAGGAGGATGCAGGCTTCCTCTGCTCCAGCATCTGCTCTGCGGTCCAGTCTGAAGGGGCAACTTGAACCCTGGACCAAGAGATGCCCAGGTCTTTCCAGCTCTTACGTCTTCTTGCTCTATAACTCCGGGGCTCCCACTGCAGCCTCCGGGCTCAGGGCTGCAGCTAACACATCAGACGTCTGTGTGTGGCCCTCTGGGAGGGCACACTGCCAGGAGGACCCCTCCTCTGAAGGGCTGCAGCCCTGCCGGGGCCAATGAGCCCAGCGCCAGACGGTTTCAGCCCTGACTTGTCCCAGGGCCTGGTGTCTCTGAGCATGGTACAATCTCCTCCACTGTCCTGGGAAACCCTGTCCCAAGCGGCCATGACCCCCTCCCCACCCCTGACCCCCGAAGGCCCTCCTTCCTGCGACACTGCCCCAGGGGAGGGTACTCACAGATGCCATGGTAGACGCCCGGCTCTGGCGTGGTGACGTCAGGGACAGGGGGACTGGGGGGCAGCTCTGGCTCCAGGCTCTGCACACAGGGTGGGGGAGAAGCAGAGGGAAGGGGTGATTCTAGTGATACCACGCAGCTGGCTGGCCATTCTTCCAGCTACTGCTGCCCACCCCTTGTCCCAGGTAAGTCCCGGCGTCTTTTCCGGTGTTTTGTTTTCTGCCTTGGTGGGAGCCCCGTGACTGGTAATACGGGCGGGCCCAGAAACCCTCCTGCACATGATGTCTTTGCCGGAAGCTCTTACAGTTAGGGGAGGTGTTGGACACTAATCAGCTCAGGCGATCAGATTTTCTGGACCAGGGAAGGACTCTATCTAGTTTATCCAGTGAGCTGGAGGAAGGAGGGAGTGAGAGAGAGATCGGGAGGGAGGGATGGAGGGAGGGAGGGATGGAAGGAAGGAGGAGAAAGAATTCAAACATAGAGAGTGGTTCTCAACCCTGGGGCCTGTGCATCTGCATTAAAACAAAATCTTTTGGCAGCTCCTCACAGCATGCAGGATCCTAGTTCCCCAACTAGGGATCAAACTCGTGCCTCCTGCATTGTCAGTGCGGAGTCTTAACCACGGGACTGCCAGGGAAACCCCTGCATCTGCATTTTTTAAAACTTTCCCATGATTCCCATGGGCAGGAAGATAAAGAACCCCTGGTCTATAGACAGAGTGGGCCACCACATCCTGCTCCTTGATCTGTGTAATAGTAAACTCTTCTCATTAGATCTCTGCACTGTAAATCAGGGTACAAGAGCCTGTAGTTCTTGACAGACAGGGAAGTGTTAGTTGCTCAGTCATTTCTGACTCTTTGCGACCCCATGGATTGTAGCCCACCAGGTTCCTCTGTCCATGGGATTCTCCAGGCAAGAATACTGGAGTGGGTAGCTATTCCCTTCTCCAGGAGATCTTCCTGACCTAGATAGGAAAGCTGAGATGCAAAGAGAGGTGAAGCCACTTGTCCAGATCTTAAGAGTTTTAGTGGAGATAGTGCTTGGGTACCCGATGACACCCTAATGACCCCTCAGTCCAGCCCCTTCAGGCCTCTGCCCAGCTATGGGGAGGAACAGGAGGAAGGCTGTCTGCCAGAAGATGCCCTCTGACGCTGAGCAGCCTCGGGCCACCGGGAATACTTGCCGCCCTAAAGCCCACGTGCCTTCTCTTGCCTTCCCTGATTCCCTGACCTCCGTGAGTCTCCTAGGACACCCCCTGGCGGATGGACAGACCTGGACACCTACGTGAGCCCCCTGCTAGGGGTGTGACCCTGACATGGTCCCCATGAGCCCACTGTCCTTATTTCTGAGACATGGGAAAGTGATCCCTCTCTGCCCCTCACAGGACTCGATCCGATCAGAGTCTCTGAGCAGGGACATCACCACGTGGAAAATGGCGGGTGAGTGAAAGGCTTCGAGGCTCTCTCTCAGCTGGAGGCCCAGGCAGTGAAGTCAGAACACAGACATGTTCTGTGGCCCGTAGAAGGTTTGAAAATACTATGAATTGGTGGCCCACATTTTTTTTTTTACTGGGGAGACTTCACATAACAATCTAGATTTCTGGCTTTCTTTGAAAGAATCAGGACAATCACTGGCAACGGGCTAGCTTGTCTGGTGAGGGGAGGACAGGGGTCTTTCCTCGCCCCTTCCCCATCTCATGTGGTGCTCTGCGGGCCCCTTCAGGTTGCAACCTGTGAACATGGTGGGATCCACAAGCCGTATCACTGCCCTGTCTTGGACATGACCTTCCTGTAGCTGAAATCTTTTGTCCTTGGTTCCTGGTTGGTTGTTTCCACTCTTGTCCCCACTCTCTTTAACTATGTCCTCCTTCTCCTATGGCCTCAAGAACATTCCCAGAGACCCTGACATCTCTTCACCTTGACCACTGGTCTTTGACTTGGGCTGATCCCTGTCCTGAAGGTCATCTTTCATTTTCGATAACTAGTCCATTAAAAGCACAGACTTGGGACTTTCCTGGTGGTCCAGTGTCTAGGACTCTGCACTCCCAATGCAGGGGGTCCAGGTTCGATCCCTGGTTGGGGAACTTGATCCCGCATCCAGCAACTAAGACCTGGTATGGCCAAATAAACAAAATAAATAAATATTTGAAAAAAAGAAAAGCACAGACTTGGTAGAGTCTTGCATTCAAGTTCAAGCCTTGTTACTCCCTCATGATGTGTCCTTGGATAGGTCCCTTAGCCTGTCTGAGACTTGGTTTCCTCAATAGGGATATTATTAATCATCTCTACTCCAAGGGCTGTGATGAGGGTTAAACACCAAGACAAGTGCTCCAAGACATATGCCCAAGAAGTGACTGCCAGGATCATCATTATTTTAATTCTCAAGTCCACCTATTAAAAGCATTTGCAGCCCTTCCATCAAAAAAAAAAGAAAAAGAAAAAAAACAGTGAGTGATCAAAACACAACCCAAAGCAAAAATTCCCCCAAGACTGCTAACCTCTAAATTACAGAGATGACACAGAACTGATTTCTCCAGCTTTGATTAAAATTTGAATACTTTCTTCACTTTGGTTTAAAAAATAATAATAATTAGAGAATGAAATATGACACACAGCACAAAAAATGAAGCAGAAAAATGGGAAATGTCAAAACAGGAGCGCCAGCAGCTTACGGGACATCCATCTTCATTCCTCCTGCTCTACTCTGAGTCAGAGGCAGAAATCTATCTGGGGTGCCATCCCCATTGCCCCCCACGCTACTCCCCTCACCACCAGTCCTACCCGGTCATCAGCCCACGAGCCGGCCTGGGTGTATGGCCTCTCCTCCCCCTGGCCATCGGCCGTGCTGGGCCTCCTCAGCGCCTCCTCACTCTGCAGGCTGCACACGCTCTCCACGTCCAGGTCAAATGTCTCATCAGAACAGAAGATGGCCTCGAGAATATCATCGTCGGTTGTGAATAAGATGGTGTCGCCAAAGTGCTCTGGAGCTGACAGGGGGACCGGGAAGACGGAAGAGTCAGCTCATCGCACATCCCAACGATGAGCAGATCGGGAACCTAAACCCATCAATCTCTGGGCTAGGAAAATCCCAACCCGCTAACAGGTCTTGATTTGAGTAACTGAGGCTTATTCTTCTTTACATCTTTGCAAATGGAATTCATGGATTGTTAAGAACCATATAGATTTAATGAAGGCACCTGTTTTAATGAGGGGGGCTTCCCTGGGGGATCAGACAGTAAAGAATCTGCCTGCAATGCAGGAGATCTGGGTTCCATCCCCGGGTTGGGAAGATTCCCTGGTTGAAGGGCATGGCAACCCACTCCAGTATTCTTGCCTGGAGAATCCCGTGGACAGAGGAGCCTGGCGGGCTACGGTCCAGGGGGCCCCACAGGGTCGGACACAGCTGAGTGCCTTAGCACAATCTAATGAGGATCACTGTGATCTGTCATGAAATAAGGGATGTTTCGAAGGCACCGGTGAGGCATTGAAGCTGATCCTGCTGATGCCCTACACAGATCTTTTGCTGGTCCTTGTAGGGGGCTTTGCCTGGAAGGGTGTGGGAGCTACGTCCCCCAACCATGGGAGCCTGGGGATTCCAAAGCCTTGCTCCTTTGCCATTATGCAGGACAGATCCTGAAATTTACACTCCTGAGCTCCCCTTAGGATCAAGCTGAGGCTGGGCTTCCCCTGAAAAAGCTTCCTCTCTAGCTTCTCCCCTGACCCTTCCACATCCTACACCCCTCCCTGCCCTATAGGTTCTCCCGAGAACACTCTCTCCATCAGTCACTTATGGAAGGATTCCCCTCATCAGACTCAGGCCCTAGGAAGCTGAGCAAGGCTGGTACCCAGGGCAGGCATCTCAGTAAGGCCAGCTCTTGCACACCCCGCTGCAAAAGGCAAGAATAGGGCCAGGTCGAGGAAAGCAGAGGGATCTATCAGAGCCTCAGCAAGTAGCGGGTAGGGGCTTCGAGGACATTCTTTCAGCCATACCTCCCGTCAGGGTTCCGGAGGCCTTGGCGATTTCTCCCTTAAAGATGCACTGCGCATCTAGCAGCATCGTGATGTCCTTCACGCCCCGGAAGGAATGGATCCGTGATTTATTGTAATTCCAGATCCTGATCAGGGCGACCTGGCAAGGCTGCTCGAAATCCATGGAGATGGAGTGGGACTTGCCTGGCGTGAAGGGGGCCAGCCAGACGTGCATGTCATCCTGGGTCCTGTTCACCCCATCGATGAGGTTGCTGACCACGCGGGGGTCTCTCCCATAGGCCGGTAAGATATTGATGTCTGGGGGGTCAGCCTGAATGTTCTCGATTCTCACCGGCTCCCCCTTGGAACTGAATATTTCTATCCCGTTGAGGCCAACATAGTGCCTGTCCCCCCACGTGGACTTGATGTCGATGACCAGGTGCTGTCCATGGGGCAGGACGGGGATTCTGAAGTCACCCCCGTCGTCTGTCTCCGGGGAGCGGTGGTCCTGCCCTTGCACAGGCCCCGGCTTCTCCTCCTTCCGGGCGGGCGGCTGGTCGCTCTGCCGGCTGCTTTTCTGCTGCTGTAGAAACTCGTCCAGGATGTCGCCCTGGAATTCCACGTTGGAGATGCGTCCCCGGTGCGAGCGGTCGAAGGCCGTGAGGGAGTCCCACGATTCGTGCAAGGTGTGTTCCTGCTCGCTTCGCCACCGGGGCCGTGGCGGCATCCGGGTGGACCAGGCGTCTTCTGGAAGGAAGGACACAGGAGGGGTGAAAGCCCATTAGCGGTGCATGAGGCAGCAGGGACCCGCAAACCTTGTCTCATCTGGTGGCTCTCAGCTGGATGGGGGTCACCCTCAGGTGCATATTCTAGAAACCGTGGGTGTTTTTTTAAAAAACTTTTTATTTCATATTGGAGCATAGCCAATTCTCAGGTGGCAATAGTGGTAAAGAACCCGCCCACCCTTGCAGGAGACATAAGAGATGAGGGTTCGATCTCTGGGTCAGGAAGATCCTCTGGAGGAGGGCATGGCAACCCACTCTAGTATTCTTGCCTAGAGAATCCCCATGGACAGAGGAGCCTGGCAGCTACAGTCCATGAGTCAGACACAACTGAATTGACTTAGCATGGATGCATAGCCAATTAACATGGGCTCAGTGGTAAAAAACCCACCTGCAATGCAGGAGACATGGGTTCGATCCCTGAATCGGGAATTGGAGAAGGAAATGGCAAACCACTCCAGTATGCTTGACTGGAAAATCCCTTGGACAGAGGAGCTTGGTGGACTATTGTCCACAGGGTCACAAAGAGTTGGACACAACTTAGCAATTAAACAATAACACAGCTGATTAACAATGTTGTGACGGTTTCAAATCAACTCCAAAGGGACTCAACCATACATATACATGTATCCATTCTCCCCTAAACTCCCCTCCCATCCAGGCTGCCACATAACATTGAGGAGACTTCACTGTGCTATACAGTAGGTCCGTGTTGGTTATGCATTTTAAATATAGCAGTGTGTACTTGTTGACCCCAAATTCCCTATCTCTTCCCCCGATTTTTCACCAGTGGGTGGTGTGATGCTTTTGGCTGTCTCAGTGCCCACTGGCCCTGTTGATACTTGAAGGGTAGAGCCAGGGATAGGACTAGAAATGGGCCAGGCACAGAGTCTGGTCTCCTGTCTCAGGCACCGTTCAGTTTGGTAAAAAAACTGTTTGGGGTCACCTGAGTCTGGAACCTTGTTGTTTTACAAAGAGACAAGTATTTTTTCAATATACTTTGGATTTTCTAAAAATGCGATGACCATGCAAATCAAGGGAACATTCCTCGGTTGTGGGAGAACCTTTGCCGGAAGTCATCCCCGCTTCAGAAACCACCCGACCCAAAGCGATGCGGCTGCCTGCAGCGTCTGAGTCAGCAACCCCAGGGTCTACTCTGGAGGCTGTCACAGCCACGTGACTCTAACGGGGTTTTTCAAAGACTGCCGAATGGCAGGTGGAAGGCTTGTGAAAGAATGTTACGTGGCGGGGCGGGGGGGGGAAGCCAGATATGCCATTTCAGATGCGGCCTCTCGTGTGGGCAGCACGTCCCAACGTGTTAGTATCACTTCTGGGTGAGGAGTAGGAAAGACTTGAACTTTCTTCTTTGACATCTTCTCTTCTAAGTTCCCTACGTGTATTATTTTTATAATCAAGGACAAAATTCTATTAAAAAAGTCAAACGACCCAGGTACACTACAAGGTAAGGAATTTACTTCTACTTGTGATGAAATTGATTAGAAGAGCCGAGTTTATGTCTGGAGCATGTGGAGAACAGGGGCCTGGCCCTCAAGGGGTGGCTCTGAAGGCCCTGCCTTCCTCCTTGTAGGATATTAAAGCCTGCACATGTGCATCCAGCAGTGGCCGGTCCCCCCAGCTAAGCCATGGCTAACTGACATCTAAGGGTGTCATTCTGGAAAAATAGCAGCTGACGACACTGGCATTCTGTTTTCTCTCCTTTCATCTCGTCCTCTGCCCTGTACTCCATTTTCTGCCTGTCTCCTAGGGGGCCTGACTCCATCAATTATCTCCTCTCTCCAGAATCTTCAATCACTCCTTCCCCACTGGCATCTCCCCTCTCTCTGCCTGCAGACATGCATAAATCTCTCCTACCTGAAAGAAAAAGGAAGCTGACCTGATCTTGTGGCTCCCTCCAACTGCCGTCCTATTTTCTCCCTCCTTTCATTGCAGACACTGCATCCTCCTGACCACGACCCTCTCTTTACCCCCTGTAACCCAGCTCCTCTGTGCAGAGCTGTGGCTTTTTGCCAGCCCAAGCTCCACTTCTCCTCCTCGTCGGAACAAAAATCCCAATTTTTCTTTGGGTACCCCTTACTTTTAGGCCATGCAGCTTAGGTGAATGCTCACAGCGTCTTTCCAAGCTGGGTTCATGAAAGGAGCTATGGGAAAGGAGAAGCCTCTCTTTAAACTGGTGCTGCTTCCTAGGAGGTACTAGTGGTAAAGAATGGGCCTGCCGATGCAGGAGACGTAAGAGACCGAGGTTCCATCCCTGGGTCGGGAGGGTCCCCTGGAAGAGGGCATGGCAACCCACTCCAGTATTCTTGCTCAGAGAATGCCATGGACAGAGGAGCCTGGTGGACTACACTCCGTGGGATTGCAAAGAGTTGGACGTGACTGAAGCGACTTAGCATGCATGCACGCTGAGCTGGTAGGATGGAGGGGTGGAGTGGTCAGTGGCCATTGGCTACATTGTGGGGATAGGAGAGCGTGGCTGAGAATGAAGTGGGTGGATGTGAACTGAAAGCTGGAGAGTCCTGATGACAACCATATGATCCCCTGGATCCAGCCACGCCTGAAGTCAAACCCCTGGTGGTTTTCTGTCTCTTGCATCCATTAGAGTCTTGTAATTCCCACCACCCCTCCACTGAAGCAACTTTATCCAAGCACACAATCTTTCTCTGTCCTCTGTCCCTCCTTGACATCCCAGGCAAGTTGGGTGCCCCCTCCACCAGCTCAGGAGACATCTCTTTCTGGTTCGCCACTCTCCCCTGCTGACAGGGCCTCTCTGTCACAGCGCCCTCCACTCCTCCCGGTGCTCTAACTCGGGTTGCACCAGAATGCCTCAGCCCCCTCCTGTTTTCCCCCAGCACTCCCTTCATCCAGCTCCTGGCTCCCGTGCAGGCCCCGCTCACTGTCATAAACCAAGTTCAGGCCTCTCTCCCTGGGGTACCAAATTTCAATCACCACGATCCCTTGCAACATCCAAACATGTCCACTCTGTCACTTCCAACTCCGGATATCTAAAGTGGAGTTGATCAAATTCTCCAATTGGCATTATTTCCACTATACCAGTGATTCAGATGGTAAAGAATCTGCCTGCAAAGTGGGAGACCTGGGTTAAACCCCTGGGTCAGGAAGATCCCCCAGAGAAGGGAAAGGCAACCCACTTGACTATTCTTGCCTGGAGAATTCCATGGACAGAGGAGCCTGGTGGGCTACAGTCCATGGGGTCTCATAGAGTGAGCGCCTAACACTTTTCACCATGATACTGAGAATAAAGATGATCTAACCCCTCACTGTACCCCCAGGGCCCTGAGTGTGACTACCCACCCCCGCCCCCAGCCTCAGCTGAGTTCTCCAGCCTCACCTCCCACCCTTCTCTCCATGAGCATCCCACTCCTGCCATGTCAGCCTTTCATTCTACCCACACGTCTCTCCGGGCCTCAGAGACTCTGCCCTCACGGTGCCCTTCTGCCAGGAGCGCTCTTGCCCCAGAGACCCACTACACCGGCTCTTCTAGACACCCTCCTTCTGGGAGAGGCCTTCTCTGCCCTCTCCCCTGCTGCTTCCCAGGGCCTGGCACAGAACCGGTGCCTGGACGTGCTCCTAAGTGTGTGTCAGTAGAGGGATGGGGGCTTGGCACCATGATCACGTCCCCTCTGTGCTCAGGGCTGGAGGCCGAGGGACTCCCCCCTCTACCTGTCAGTCCTCCTGCACCTCCTCACCACCCCCCACTTCTCATCTGTCATTAACAAGACCCCAGGAGTCCCTCCCATCCTTGCCTCCAGGCGTGAGGCTTAACATCTGGCACAAGGAACTTCCCATATGGATCGTCACCACCTCAGTTTATTGTGATTTGATTTCCGCTGACTGAAATGAATGGGCCGGGCTGGTCTTCAAGGGCACAGAAGGAGAAAGCGCCGAAAGTCCTGTGTGTCAGGAACTCAGTGCGCCTTTCTCTGCTGGGGTGTGCGAGAAAGGCAGGACTTGGCTTTCATCCCGTGTCTGCTTTCTGACCCACTCTCCCGTAGAGAGGGACAACTGGGTTTTAAAAGTGGAGAGGTGTAGGCTTCGCCCTGGACCTCTCAGATGTGACAGCAGGCTGGGGCCAAGTTTCCCTCTGTTTGCGGTAGGACAGGCGACTTGTTAGTCCTTGGGAGTCGGGCAACTGCTGGGATCAGGGCTTTGTCCTGTCCGTCAACATTCCTCCCCGCAGATCTGAACGGACAACAGAAAGCTACTGCTTTCATCTGCAGTCAACATGGGTTGGGAGGGACCAATATGAGGCGACAGGACTGAAGGTTCAAAACTATTCCTTGGCAGAGGTTAATGTGAACAGCAACGTTCTGAACTTCACTTTAGAAAAACCACTGGCAACACCATGGAGTGTTAGTTGCTCAGTCACGTCCGACTCTTTGCGACTGCATGGAGTGGGGCCCTCCCATGTCCTCTGTCTAAGGGATTTTCCAGGCAAGAATACTGGAGTGGGTAGTCTTTCCCTTCTCCAGGGGATCTTCCCAACCCAGGGATCGAACCCAGGTCTCCCGCATTGCAGGTGGATTCTTCACCATCTGAGCCACCAAGGAAACCCTAAGGTCGGCACTAATTGCTACTAAAAGGGGAAGTGAAAAAGCAGATAGTGAGATGTAACAGAGCCATGTTTAACCTAGGTGAAGAGCCACAGCTGATAGGACAAGAAGGGGCCATCTGATCCAAGCCAACCAATCAGCTTCTGCTGTGAGTCTTTGGAATTGGGGTTTCCCTTGTGGCTCAGCTGGTAAAGAATCCACCTGCAATGCGGGAGACCTGGGTTCGATATCTGGGTTGGGAAGATCCCCTGGAGAAGGGAAAGGCTACCCATTCCTGTATTCTGGCCTGGTGAATTCCATGGACTGGATAGTCCATGCGGTTGCAAATCCGGCATGACTGTGCAAATTTCACTTCACTCATATCAGAGAGAGAGAC